CGAGACCGAATATTTTGCTGATGTAGCCATCGGATATGTAAAATCCGAAAGTGGTGCTTGATTATCTAAAAATAGTTATAATTCTATTTTATTATCACATCAGATTGAGGAGGTTTTAATTGTTCCAAAAATTAGATCACTGGCCATTTATTTATCGTTCTAAATTCAAAGTTTGGAAAATATAACGACGAAGATTTTTTTTTTAAACAAAATAAAACTCCTTTTATTGTTTCAATAATAATGTTTTAGAGAAGAACTTTTTCTCGTAATATATAAGGCTTCAACAGACCGCTAATAGCGAACGCACATTCAGAACGGGTGTGAAGCAATCGGAGCGTAGAAATGATAGTGAAAAATGTAATTTTCGTATACAGCCATTTATTTCATGTAAGTGGCTGACACGTTCTCTGCGTTCTATTGTCATTCTGAATTGTAGGGTAATTGTATGTTAAATGCTTCCCCAAAACTTTTGTCGAAAATTAAGTGTGTATTAATATGAAAGCAGTCACGATTTGACCAAATCTATTTTTCTTCTACGTTTTAGTACATTGATGTTCATTTTTATTTTATCTAATATTTTTTTCTTATAAACAATAAAACTTTTACTAGCTTTAAGCGATACCATTATTTACTAATCCTATTAGGTTTTGAATGTACTTGTTCATAGTCAATTTTTAATGTTCGTCGATTTACCTACTGTTAACTGCATAGTTAGAATCGAGCTTCCGATTTCTACCTACTGTTATAAATCCACGGACAATTCAAAGATACCTACAGTTAATTGAAGTATCCAGTTTATTTTGACAACTGAAACTAAATTGTTGAAAATTTAAATAAAAAAAAGAATATGTGCCGATTATCATCATTTGGTATTTAAGACCCTCTTATCGCCAAGTTAATTCATTTCAATCTGATTATTATTAATAGGTGTCAGAAAAGTTTTTTTCTTTTGTCATTATTTTTTCTTATATTTCTTTTCTTTTCCAGGTACCTTAATGTCAATCGGTCTTGGAGCCCTCGCCTTGTTAGCTGGTAAAGCGCTCATGACTGCTATGATGTCACTCCTCCTTTCCGCCATCATCGGTATCAAGTCCTTGACCAGCGGCAAAGGATCTACCACTTACGAAATTGTCTCCAAGCCCATATACAGTCATTCACACTCACACTCCACAGCCCACGAAGATGTAGGAGGATATGGTCATTCAGGTTACGGCAGAAACCTGAACGTCAGGAGGCGTTAATTTAAAAAGTTAGAATGTTAAAATTCAATGATTTCCGAAATTCGATTCTCGAAAATAGTTGCACCTCCTTTGAATTTCTTTAATTTCTTATTTTAATTTTGACAAACTCTTTCGTCGATCTTTTTTTAATCTATGTTTCTTTATTTTTTTTATAACTTTATTTTCTTTTATTTTTCACTAAAAGATGGTGCAACTATGAACGATTTACTAATTAATTTATATTTGTGATTAACTTATTGAATGGACCAACGAAATGTTAATTTATTTAAATTATTTATTCTTAGCTTTAAGCACGATCAGTCTTTATTCTTGCCTTTACTTTGTTCGCTTTTTTCATATTTATTCTACCTGTTGTATATTAATATTTATTTTCACATATTTAATTCGATATTTTCTCATAATTTGTTATTCCTTTTTATTTAATCATAGTAAATATATATTTATTTTATAAAATAATATATCTTATATAACGTACAGCGTTTGCTACATCTGATAATTCTAATTATTGCATAATATGAACTTTATTTTGTTTCAATATTATTTATTTATACCGTATATATAATATATTAGTATTTAACATAACATATTATTTGTATACCAAAAGCTTTAATATCATAATATATGATTTTCGTTTCGATGTTATCTTCACAAGTCTATATATTTTTCACCGACATATTTTTATGATATGTAATGTATTTATTTATATAACCTTATTATTAGTGCAATGTATAAATATTATTTTTATAAATTTTATATAGATAAAAGATTTAAATGTAAATATTGTATTCGTTTTTGTTTGCTTATTATTATAATTTTAATTTCAATCTTCTGCACCCAAAGAAAATAAAAATGATGATAATTATTTGCCTGGTTCTTTTATTTTACAAATAAAAAAAACAAACTCGAAATAAAAAATATATAATAAAAGAAAGAAAGTATATACATTTTAAATCCTTTACCTGAATACTGTTTAAACTTCCATGTTTGTTGTAAATACAAGTTTCGAAATGGTATTAATTTTTTAAACAAAAAATTTGAATTTAATAAATTAACTTTACTAAATGAGAAAATTAAATACTTATCTAGAAATTATTTAGACTAGATTAATAAATGATCGCTTGCAGTTTCCATAGCTCATTTCAAATAATAAACATCTCTTTAAGATCTTTCATGATAAAAAATAACGTAAAATTATTTTAAAATCACTCGTCAATCAATTGAAATTAACCAAAAAGATGTGAACTTTTGACTGTCCTACCGAAACGCTACTTTATACATAATATCGTTTTTTACCTAATTCTTTCAAATACTCATCGGAAACTTATCTGAAAAGAATAAGATTACATTGAATTTAATTATTATCAAATAACTCTGATAATTCTACACCGCAACTTTAAATAAATCCAGTAACCATAGGAAATTAATCTGTATATCTTTTTCATTTATATAAGTAAAATAGAAAATATTTAAATTTGAAACTTATTCCAATTTCAAATTTCATTTCAAAAATATTACGTCTTACGCTCTCATAGTAAGCAAATTCGTAACTAGTTCGAAAGTAGCGCTAATCTTGATTCACGGCAAAAACAAAAAAAAAAAACAAAACTCTTCGATCGACTTTCCACGGCGATTGTACACAATTCTTTTATTTTAGTGAAAGTAATAGCTAGTAATGATTATTTTTGAATTAGGTATATTATGTAGAACATTTTTGTCTTACTGGCTACCTTATTATAATATAGGATAAATGACTTTGCCATTAAGATGGTGTAAGACAAAACAAAGTAAACATATATGAAAATGTTTTCTTCAGCTCTGAAAATTATTTCATCTACAAATAAAATTTACCAATACTATTACATACTATAAAAAACAACGTTTATTCAAATATATACAAATCACAAAATAAGTTATATTCTAAGATAGTTACTGACAGTATGGAAAATCTGAGACAAAGAAGATATCACAATACCCAGAGACAAGACAAAATGGAAAATTTGTTTTTTCTCCAACGACCTGACCGCGAATTGAACCCAGGATCTCAGAAATGGGGACGTGTTGACCCCGGCGTAACATTTATAATACGCATAATTCCAACTATCCTATTCTATAATAAATTCAGTCTCGAACTGGAAGTCAACCACAGCGCTATCAGATTATAGAAGTTAAATAAAATAAAACCTTCATTACCTTTTGAAGTAAGCTTTATTTGATTTTTACCTCTATGTTGTAAAAAGACAGAGCTTTTTTTACATAACAGTTCATTTTATTTCATCTGTAAGGCCCCCAACTAATGTTGATACAAGGCGTGTGTTGGAGTCAAAGGCACGCTACCACAATGGGTCATTAATAATAGTGTATAGAATTCCCGTAAATAACATTTTTTCTAATGATACGCAGCTCTTATTTGTTTTTAAATTATCTGTACATTAGTACAGATCATATTAATGATAAAGAGGAAAAATAATATTGTTTGTTTACATTGAATAGGCTCCAAAACTACTAGACTTATTAAAAAAAAACTTTCATCTACGGGTTGCTAGCTACATAATACGGGGTAGACATAGGCTATAACTTACATAGCTAGTTATTCATATAAGTTTAAAGATGAATAACTAACTAGCTAGCTAACTATGTCATCCAGCGAACTTGTCTGTGTATATAAGTTCGCTGGATAATATAGAAGTGTTATTTTTACTTCAGTTTTTAGGGTTTCCTGTCCAAAGCATAAACAATGGGACCCTATGAAGTACTAAGACACTGCCATTCTTACATTTGGCTGTCGATCTATCGTCAGGCTTTTCTTATGAATCATGATAGTTAGACAGTTGAAATTTTCAAAGCTTATGTATTTCTGTTGGCGTTAACAACAAACACTAAAAAATAGAATAAAATAAGTACTTAAGCTCCCACCCTTTTTTTGCTTTTTTTTCGTTTTTTCATCATAAAATCTTTTCTTATTTCAACGAATACTCAACATACCGATTTCAAATATTCCTAATTATTAAAAAAAAATATTTTTGAAATTTCTATTAAAATCGGGCGGAGGTTTGGTGTTTCAATAGAAGTTTCGTGAAGTATTCTATACTTTTAGTAGGATGTTTATCGAGTTATTTTTATGTATTTTATCGTTACTTTTTTCAAAGTCTTAATTAACTTTTATTACTTTGTGTCTTTTATTCAAAGCTAAGTTATCATAAAAAATATCATTGCGATTTATATTTATTTTTCGAGAAATACATTATACACTTACAACATTTAGAACAGGTATATTATGGGCTTCTTAACAAAAAGCACTGCACTAAACTACTGACCGGGCGAACTAAATAACATAGAGGTCCAACTTACAACCTCATATTTTGAAGTTAGATAAATAACCTAATTTTTTGAAGTTGGTATAAATAAATAACTGTTTTGGTTCCTGCATCGTAAAATTTTGCGGTTAACAAAATATTTTTATGTGTATTTGATTTTGTTAGTAAACTATCTTTCTTATAAAAAAAATTAAAGGATAGCCGTTGGCATATGCCATTACTTTATGTTTAGCATAACAAATAACATATCCTAATAGTACAAAGCAATCATAAGACATATAACCATGGCTATCTTCGAGACATCACAATGAAATGTTAAATTCTATCTAAGTATATTTTAAATGGTTAAACGAAACAAATGTTCTCATGTTTATGTATATTTAAAACGTAAATTTTAGTAGCCGCTTTAGTTATGAACTTACTTTTTAAACGTTTGTTCAATCAGAATCAACACTTATAGTTCTAATGATTCAATCATAGTTTATTCAAATCAATCAACTTAAAACAACCATGATGTATTATTGCGTAATAACTTATTCGATCTAAATGCATCATGAAGAAAGAAAAAAATCTAAAAGCGGACTCAATCTTTTCCACTTATTTACCGTTCGAAAGTGCTTGATTTCGCCATGGACAATGCCAAAGTTATCGTTCGATTTTGCTCGTTTTACAATTCCGAAGATAAATCGACATCGTATACTTTTTATATTATCTAACGGGTATAAATAAATCGGAAATGCACCAGCAAAATCAGTACGGAACGGTCTGTCATCGAAATGACAGTATTCCGTTTATGAATTGTGTTAAAGATTTCCAATTATATCTCAGTTTAGTAATAGTGACAAAATGTGTTTTAAGAATGCAGTGGTTTTGCTGGTGATAGTGTGTGCTTATCAAACAAAAGGACTAATTGAAGATAGCCAAGGGAATACGATATCGGTTACAGAGAAAAATGTAGCCAACAATACGGAGAGGACTGGTAGATCTTTACACAAGGAATGCAGTAGCTTACTCAGTTCGAAGTGTCTAAAGATCCACGCTCTATCTTTCCTAGAGGATCTGAGCTCTCGCGATGAGCTATCCCTCTTCCCCGGATTGAGTATCGTGAAAGAAAACCAAACTGGAAGTACTCCTAGTCCAGAAGAGATGGCTGCAGAGTTATCCCGGCAATTCCCAGGAAAACCTGAGGAGAAGCTTAATAGGTTTCTTCTTTATAGGCTGCAGAATTACTTGGACGGACATTCATTGAAGTACAAGTTGCTGGATGCTGAGACTGCTAAAGACGCAATGGAAATAGCAAAAGAGGATCCTTCAGTTGGAAGGAAGGGTGGTGGAGGCGGTGGTGGCGGAGGCTTCGGAGGTGGCAAAGGAGGCGGCAGTGGTCTTCTTGCAGTAGCCTTGATGATGAAAGGTATGAAAGTAATTGGTATATGATATGTATATATAATTTTAACAACATGATAGTGAAACCAATGGCAAGGTGAACCATGATGATATATAATATTTAACAGCTGCAAAAATTCAGGAACATCAATGGAAAGCTTAAATTGTTTGTGATAGATAATTTAAACTTATTTTAATTAAAAACAAAATTGAATACCACGAATGTCTTTTTTGATAATTTGTACAAAATTTATCACTTTCAATAAATTCTTAACCATCGTTTTGAAACATTTAATTTATAAATGAAAATCAAAAGACATCAATATTTTTCAACTGACTTCTTGTAATTTTAATTACTACGTTAATTAGAATATGATCAACATAACTCCTTGAATTATAAAACTAATTACAGTAATTCTTTCAAATTGTATTTTCAGATTGCTTCACTACAATAGATTTATACCTAATTCTTAATTAAATTTTAGGTGCATTAGGAGCTGCTGCTTTAGGTGCGTTAGCACTTTTAGCAGGCAAAGCATTGATGACTGCTTTGATGTCACTTCTACTGTCTGCTCTCGTCGGCCTCAAAGGCAGCGGCGGTCACAAATCCACCACCTACGAGATCATCACCAAGCCCGAAGTGTCCCATCATCACTCCCACAGCCATGAGGAGCATCACGAACACGAGCATGGTCACCATGGAGGTTACAGGAGAGCGTACGACATGGGATACAACAGCTACATGCCTTATGACACTACGACCAGCTAAAAAAATATCTGTTACAATTTATTATTTAACTCTTTCGTTTTTCTACGACCTAACGCCGTATTAGATTTTTAATTTGCGATCTACTTTATATTAAAATGCCACCAATGTAGATAAAATCAAACATTAATATAAATAGGATATGAATATCATTTAGAACTTTCTTAATACATCGTATTAGCTTATATATTGGTTATTATGAAAAAGACCTAAAGGTTATTCTTTCCTAAAATATTATATAACATTATTAACTGCAAAATTTGATATCTTATCATCATCAATGTTTTTTTTTTTTGTACATACTATAAACATTTAGTACTAATTTAACATTTTTTAATGCATTTAATATAAAATTTATTTATTTATTATAGATTAATTCCAATCAGTTTTATCAAAACTGGGATATATTAGGTGTGAAAGTGTATTATTAGTTTTAAGTTATTTATTCCAATTAATTTATTGATTAACTTATTTTTCTTTTGTTGTTCTTGTGGATTTGATTATTGCAGTTCAATGTGAGGCGTGTTAAAGTTGTATATATCTTTATTAATGTGTATATTTTTTATACTTTTATTCTATTAATAATAACCCCCACCGCGGTATTACGACACAACTTCTAATATTTGATAATCTCTTCTTTGTATTTTTTGTCTTTAATATCTTTAATGTTATGTTTATTGATTCTTTTTTGTATTAAGTGTATTATATAATTTTTCTTGTTGTAACTAATTATAATTATCTCCTAATTTCATGCAGTATGCATAACTGTGATAATTTTATTTATGTTTGCTTTTATAAAGTACCTATAATGTAAAATGTATAAACCAAATATTATTTATATATAAGCATCATTATTATTTATATTTGTATACATTTGTGAGCTTTTTATTTTAAAGTTCTATCAATATTTATGTAATTATGAAAAAGAAAATACTGTCATTAAATATTACTTTGTTTTATTTTACCTGAAATTGTTATTCACACAAAATACTAAGGCCGGTTATTTAATGTAAATTGCTTTAGATATATAGAATTATTGTGGAGATACGAAGAGCTCTATTTATTCAAAATTCATAAAATCTTCCAAAATATTGTATAGGTAACGAAAATAAAACAGATACATTAATCTGATTAATTTTCGGAAAAATAAATAAATTTACGAAATATATCGCGGTGAGTTTCATCCGAAGAAGTGAGATTAAAGACATGAGAAAAAATTATCAAGAACTAACTGACAAAAGTCATCATATTTTTGAGGGTTCTGTTACAGTCAAATGGTGAATTTATAATTTTTTTCCCACAGAAATTACGCTTTCTTTATAGGGAAAATTGGTAACTAAGTAAGACACTTTGTAACTGAATAAATTATGCAGCCATTACAATTGTTCTTATAGTTTGCGAGTTCTTAATTAAAAACCACCTGCAATATGTCTTTCTAATTGTCATTTAAGTTACGGAGGTTCTTATATCAATCACGCGACTTCGATGAAACGTGAACCGCCTTTGTGATAGATATTGTAATTTTTTTTTTTTTGACTCTGTGACAAAAATTTTATATTAACATAAAAAAACATAAAACCCAAAACATTGCCAAGTTATAGGACTAATTGAAAAGGTCATCCTTATTACTACAGTTATAAAAGAATTTTAAAAATTGGCCTGCAATTCGCGAGCAATCAATGAACATACATTAAAACATGATATACCTGTCATTCACACATAGAACCTTTTTCATTTTGAAGTCTGATAAAACACTTAGCAGATAAGAAACAATCGTAAATTTACAAACATCCTGTAACTTAGCATAACGATTTTCAACGCAATGCAGATCGAAACAAAAATATGTTTAGATTGAATCAGGTAAGAAAACAGGTCTCTCAAAGATACCCTAACCGCTGCATGAAACACTATGATTTACGAGTCAAATCTAACCATAAAATTGTAGGTTTTCACAAAACAGCAACGCTGTTTGACCCAATATCCTACAAACTTAAAGAAAATAAATAATCTGCAAACCATAACTGATATTTCATTTGAACATCATACTCGCTAAGAAATGGCATTTGAAATAATTTTACTTGTTTGTTTTACGTTAACAGATGCGTTAATAATTAAAAATGTTACTAATGAAATAACTATAAGTGATGATGCGGGAACGAGAGAAAATGATATTACTAAGGTTTTTTCGGGAGTATACACCGATTGTTTTTTACATTTATCTTATTCGTGTGTGCAGAAAAAAACGCTTTCCTATTTGAAAGAACTTAACAAGCTACCTGAAGTGTCTGTTATAGGAGATTATGTTAAATTTGGTAAGTACGAACATTTCATTGTTTAAATAAGTCCAAATTTATGAAATAACTTTATTTTTCTCGTCATTATTCTTGCCAATGTTTTGAATTAATAGTTTTTGATTATTGAATTAGTTAAAAATTATAATTTACAGAATAGATATATGATTAAATTATTTAAATTTAATAAAAGCCTTGAATTCGAGCTTATTGAGGCACTCTAGAAATATTGAAAAAGTCAAGTTATGTAGATATTCAATGGGAAATATGGGCGAATATCAATTGAGTGATAGATAATTTAGAAATAACTATGCATGGTCTGTGAAAAATTACATGCCTATTGCCTATGTATAGAAAACACTTGTACACTAAAACTGAAAAATCGTGAAAAATCATATCTGAAGTGAATATATATTCAGCGAAGAACTTGTCATCGAGCGAATCACTTTTGAATGCTTTTTCGGCATAAAAATTAATAATTAAATAACAAAAATTACCTGTAAAGGTTTTACCTTTATTTCATTGTGCGACAATGCTGAGTTCGACGTCTTGTTTGAGGTTGATTACCACATATAAATTTAATAGCGGTTGTTTATGGTATATAAAGAAACATCAATAAGGTTTAACTAAAATTAACATTATTTGCAGTCAAACTTAACATAAGTGAAGATAACGAATTAATGGACAAAGACATCGAATTGGATGACTCCGAAGAATTGTCGTTCATGATAGACAAAGCTGTCGACAACTTTTTCAACAACCACGTCATGAAATTCAGCGCACTGGGAAAAAATATTTCTGTTCCGAACACAGGTATTTTAACTAGAACCAACTATTTCTCAAACCAGGATTTATGATAACATTTAGGTGTGAAATCCTAAGAAGCAGTCAAACAATTTTACTCTCAAATAATTGATGTGGTTTTAACATTGCAGTGGAAGAATTCGTTGGTCGTAAAAAACGCAAGGGTGGCGGTGGCGGTGGACATGGCGGAGGAGATGATGGAGGCAAGAAGAAAATGATGATGATGGCGATGATGTGCATGAAAATGAAACTGATGATGGTTTGTAGGAAACGGATCATTATATAACTTATAAAAGTTTTAAACCCATCAAGGTTTGGACTATCGAAAAAATTATTTGTATCTAATTTGCATCACAATTAATATTATTTTATTCCCCAATTATAATGAGTAGGTATGCGAAGAATTAGTAAGACTTTTATGAACAGAGATTTGATCAGTGAAATATTATGTGTTACTGCATGTGTAAGTATTTATGCTACATGCACTATTAGAGACTGCAATTTACGAATGCGTATTTTTTTTATTTAACTTCCAGATGGTGCCAGCTATGATGGGAATGATGGGCATGATGTCTTTCAAAGGGATGATGTTCAGCATGATGTCATTTATGATAGCTAAGGTAAACCTCTGTTGGCTTTCTTTCTTCATACATTAAGTATTTTCAGTTTATCTAAGTATAAACGCATCCAAGTAATTTTGAAATAATATTCAGACAAAAGTATATACATATTGGTTAATTAAAATTTTACACTTTTTAATAACCATGTTTCAATATTCACAGATCGTCATATTACACAATTACACATACAACTTTTAATTAATATCCGATTATCCATGCTATAGCTAACGCCTAAGATGAAATGGTTAGCAAAGTTTAAAATCTGTCACTAACATAGTAGGTATATTTACATAACTTTTTTTTCTAATGCTCAATTGCACAACGTCCTGGTTTATGATGACTTTAAACTCTATTGAAAATTCTGAAATTCAATATTTATACCGCTAATGTAACATTCAACTAATGTCAATTTTAATGCGCGTTTAAGTGCAACTGACTGTTAATCACCTTTTTGTTTCCTTGTAAAAATACCGAAATCAGAATAATAAATCTCATACTTATATTGTAAAAGAGTTTTTTTTTCCCAGATGATGCTACTCATGAAAATTCTGGAGAAAAAGGGGGGTGGTGGTGGCGGAGGTGGAGGTGGAGATGGAGTGAGTGTTTAAACATTTGAACAAAAACCAAAACAAACTTGGTCGCTTCTTTAAAAAACGTTTAATACATAAATTCTTACACTTTTATGAATATGAGTTTAAAAAGAACTTTCGGAAACAAAAAGCAATATATACCCAAAGGCCTCACATTGAATTCATATGACGAGTTTGCTTTCAGAAAGGTGTAAATTTAGGTTTACTTTATTTAGGTCGTTCACATATTACTTTATCACCTACCTAATCGTTTACATAAAAAGTTTTTGTTTAAAATATGCACTCATTTATTTTCAGGGTTGGCCAGCAGGAGGTGGCGGCGGTGCATGGATGCCAGCAGGTATATTCCCAATATAAATCAACAAAAATAAACACGTACCTTTTATAAACAATAAAAAAAGAACATAATTTCATAAAGCAGGTTCCGACTACGCAGGCGGCGGTTCCGGTGGAGGCTACGACGCAAACGGCCAATGGCAAAGCAGATCCATGATCGAAGAAGCTCAAACTCCAGATTTAATAAGACCTACCATAACATACGTCACACCAATAAGATACACTAAAAATAAAAAGGTCCTAGAAGGTGGACAACCAAAATCAAGAAGCAAGAGAGGAATTGTAGACGTTCTCCAATACGCTTACACGTATTGGTTGAACAGAATAATCGGCGGAACAATAAACAGGAGGAAGAAACAGCCGAATTACAAATACGTGAATGGCGTGAAATACGTATATTATCCAATAAAAATGCTACAAAAAATTAAGCAGCACAAAGAACCACCAATCAAGAGCGTTGATGAATTCAAACCAATGAATGTGGTTGATGATTTCAATAAAGGAGAAATTGTAGACGGACCAATAGAGAGTAGGATGAATAAGAAAAAGTTAATGAAGATGAAAGATGCAGTCAATGAGAATGTCGAGGAGAATCCATGGGAATGACTATATTACTTGATGAAGTTTTATGTTCTCGACACTATTGTCGAGCCGGACTTTAAATCGTTCTTGTTCTTGTAACGTGTGTGTTTGTGTGGAACTATTGTTCTCCACTCAAATATTTAAGAATTAAAAGGGTTAGATCAGAGATATATAGTTCATTTTAGTTTCGTTAATTGTCTTAAAAACCTTATTAAAAATAGCAAATAAATACAAAAACTGTTTGCTCAATTGCTGTGAGCTTCACCACAGTAGCACCTCTGCACTGCTGCAGTAGAATGTTTGCACATAATGCATTCAAAGATAAGTCAAAATTAAACTGTAGATACTTACGTAGGTATGTATTGTAAATATAATTACACCCCATGGAAATATAGTGAATTTTAGAATTTGATAACAATGCACTGCACAATTCTATAGAGCGCCATCTATGTATTTCTTATAGAAGTATTATAACTAGATAAGTTTTACAATTATTGGAAAAGCATTTTTAAAGAAAAGCACTTTTACTTAGAATAGGTACTGGCTCCTACTTCTACGAATATAATGTTAATAAAGTAAATTATATCTTTTAAATAGTAGCATATAATTAGATCTCTCAGATGATAAAAATATTTTCATGACAACTAGCAAAAATATTGTTTCCATTAACTGAAAATTAAATATGTTTATCAGTAGGTATCATTTGTTAGTAGGCATTATTAAGGCCATTGAAAGAGTCTACGAGTAGATTGAGAATGTAAGTAAAAGTTATTAGATTTAAGTATTTGTTTGTATTAAAACCAGCTTTATCTTTGTCATAAGTACTTATGATTAAATATTAATATATGAGTCAATAAATAATTATACTCAATGATTGATGACATTGTTTATTACTACAAGCCATCTAGAGCCGTCGTCTCGAATTCATGCTTATGCTTTGCTCCAAGCATAGCATGCTGTCGAGACGACGTCAAAATATTTAGTTCAGCGCCATCTATGAACTTTTTACTGAAGTAATTGCTTTTACCAAAATTTTTAAATAGACTGATAGAAGCTTCTTTGAAAAGCACAAAGGGTTTAGCCGGATACGTATGACGAGTCGGCCCCCAAATGGGAATCGATATTGAAACTTATGTTTTAATATCGACTTGATGTTCAAACACGATTTATGTACTTTTCGCGACCGACTTCCGCTTTGACCTTGAGATAGAGAGCAAAATATCCGTATGCTTGACTATTACTGAATGTGATATATCTCTAAAGCTAATTAAGATAAAGAAATGAAACTAACGCGAGGTGTTAGGTTACATTACAGAGTATATCACATATATTTTTTTATAATTTTTAGAATAAAAAAATACTTTAAAAAAATAAAAAATAAAAAAATCATGTTTTTTTTCTGAGTTCTCTGTGACTTACAATCACGAAATTAATATATGTTATGCTCCTTTGTGTGCTCTATCACCCATAAAAATTGCGTGAAAAAAAGTTGGTGCAACACAACGGAAAAAAATTATATGTGATTTCTGTCTTATGGTAGGTATACCCCTGTATTATAAGGTTTTCACATTACATCATTGTTTTTTTTTCGAAATTTCACATCAGCTTGTTTTAAAACATAAGTAACTAGTCTTAAGAGATGGGATAATAGTTAAAAAAGAAATGAAAAAAAAACAGCCAGTGTTCAATACTTATTATTATTACTTTTTCGTGTCTATCAAAATACAAGAAACAAAATATTAATCATCGTCACTGCTGTAATTAATTACAATCGGAACTATTACGATTTTATTCAAACAGTCACTAAACACTTTAGCTTCTTCTTCATTCTTTATAATTTTTTTATAACCAGGAATCTTACACAGGTACTTGTTACAATTTTTACACTTTCTCGACATTATTACTTAATAATGATTTGGTTCGATAGTTAATAATTTCAAAATGCTGATACAAAATACCTATGACAGAATTTGAGTCCCAAACTGCCTTCTTGTGTAATACAAATGACTGCTACTTTAGCTAAACAAACGATGCAGTAAACAGCTCGATAACAAGTTCGAACTTGTTTGTTTATACACTCACACTACAAGGCGCGAATCACATAATTTTTTTTCGTTGTGTTGCACCAACTTTTTTTTCACGCAATTTTTATGGGTAATAGAGCACACAAAGGAGCATAACATATATTAATTTCGTGATTGTAAGTCACAGAGAATTCAGAAAAAAAACATGATTTATTTATTTTTTATTTTTTTAAAGTATTTTTTTATTCTAAAAATTATAAAAAAATATATGTGATATACTCTGTAATGTAACCTAACACCTCGCGTTAGTTTCACTTCTTTATCTTAATTAGCTTTAGAGATATATCACATTCAGTAATAGTCAAGAATACGGATATTTTGCTCTCTATCTCAAGGTCAAAGCGGAAGTCGGTCGCGAAAAGTACATAAATCGTGTTTGAACATCAAGTCGATATTAAAACATAAGTTTCAATATCGATTCCCATTTGGGGGCCGACTCGTCATACGTATCCGGCTAAACCCTTTATGATAATTTTAATAAGCTTCTATTTCAACAAGACGCTGTAGAGGGAAATTTACCTAATAACATTGTAAGTGTCAATTTCAAAAACAAAATCAAATATTAAGGAAGATTTATGTAACTCATATTTTAAAATTATAAAAAGTATTATTTTCAGGTAAAAGTACTTTATATATTTATTCAATAAAACATTGAAATAAATAAAGGACGTTTATTATATTTCAGTATTTCCAACATACTTCTAAGTCCGATATGGTCTAGTGGCTAGGATACCTGGCTCTCACCCAGGAGGCTCGGGTTCGATTCCCGGTATCGGAAGACTTTTTTTTTTTTGGTGGAAAGTTTTAAGGAAGATTATTAAAAAAATAATTTAATAAAGTTGTACGACCGGAATGAAGTAACCGATTTACACATGTCTCATCACCATCCATCCATAGTTTTGCAAGAAAATCAGTTGATTTCAATCATTTTTGTACCGAAAACTAACGTCCTAAATCTTCATAAAGTAATCCTATAATTTATTATTATTTTGGATTTCTTCTCTTTATACTTTTTATAGGAAAAAACGATAAATATGGGAGTCATTTTGTAGCCGAATGCTGAATACAACACTTACAATAATCGTTATAGTTTTATAGTCTATGTTACCCTCGTTTGGTGTAGCTTTTGGCAGTTAAATAGATACCTACATTCAATATTCTCAGCTGAAAAGAACAAATTGAAAATATAAAAACAAATGGAATACTACAGTGCAGAACTGTGTGTTTGGCAGTTACAAAACTCTATGTCCTTAGTAGCCTAGCCTATACCTCAATTGCCTACACCAAAAAGATCAAGATACTAGTATTAGACTATAATGAAAAAAGTCATAAATTTACTACATGACAAAAACTGTATTATTGCGATCGTGAACTAGGCCTTCGAATTGTAGTGCAAACGTGTCAATGTATAAGGTGTAGGTTAAGCGTTAACCAAATTTAGCCGCTTTTTGCTAGTCTTAAATCCTTTTCTCCATGTAAAAAAAGAGAAAATCATCCGACATCTTGCGGGGTCTATAAAATAGGAATTTAAAAGAAAGGTAATAAAAAGTTATTCCTTATGAATGAATCCACCGTGTAGATTTTATAATGTTAATTTTTGTGAGCCATGTACATTATAAAGCCATAAATGGACCCATAACGCCTAAATCTTCTTTCATACAATCCGTGGCGCTTTACAAGGTCTTGATTAGTCATCATTATCGTTCTTCAATCAGTACTCCCTATTATCAATGAAATTAGGCATACTGATAAACCCTTTTATAAATTGAATAATAGCCAGGCAGGCCAATTCTCAATCGAATCTTCTATATAGAATCGCAATTAGTTGCATTTCGCCATTGTACTATCTACCCGAAGGCCAATATTATTGTATATCAGTCTGTATCCGTCATCATTGATGTGTGATGAAGACATTGCACTAATAATATTGGACTTTATGTAAATTGTATCACTACAAAGTGCAAGTTTTTTGAGATTCTATTGAGTGATTATGTATATGTATTTATATGTATATGTATATTTATAATTATATGTATATGGCCCATCCTCCTTAACCATCCATAAGGAAGGCCATAGCCTCTGCAGTGGGGACGTAAAAGGGCTGATGATGATGATGATATATGCATGTATATATTCGCTATATATATGTAATTATGTGTAAGTTTGTTTATATGTTTATGATTAGTTTGGTATTTGCTGTTGCACTCTTTTTTTATTGTTCTGTCCCGCCATCGTGTTTTTCTATTTTCTCAAAGGTTGTCAAAGGGAGAGAATGCTATTAGCATTAGGTCCGCCTTTTGTACCAACTTTATATAGATCAATAAAGTTCAATAAATAAATAAATAAAATTATTACGTAAGAATCAGCCTATATTAGAAATTTAAAAACTTAATCGCCATTTGAACGTTGTTTCTGAGAAAAAATGGAAATAACGATTTGCACGTACATAAGTTTTGCACGTCATGACAGCAGATTTTTTCGAAAATGGCATTTTTGTTTATAAATTTTGAGAAAACCGTAAGAGACTATTTCTTTCGTTTCATATTCCAAGTTCACTAGGGCATTAGGTTATTTCTATTTCTTTCCCAAAAAAATAATAGCTTCTAGTGTACGAGTATTTTTGGGAATTTGTCGGTTCTCAGCGGTGATAAACTTATTTTGAGGTTGTATATCTCTCCGATGTTGGTAATATAGTGTACAAGTGTATGTTTATGCACTATATTATATAGTGTCAAAATTTGCTGAGATAGGTACATGGTTAGTTGTACATTCAATGCTTTGAGGCAATTATTGAAAAGTAATTATCCATATACTAATTCTTAAAGCAAAATCTTTGACCCCTTTTTACGAAAATTGCCAGGACGGAGGAGTATAAAATTTGGCATACCGATAGTTTATACGTGGGAAAAGGGCAAACTGCTAATTATTCAATAAAATAAA